GGAACGTGTAACAAAAGTAATTTCCCTCTGGGATTATTAAAGTATTTCTGATTCCGATAATACTCACTCTACATCACTGATATTTCTATAATGTTTTTCACAGCATCGGATATGTAAACTTTGTTAAACTGGTCACATCTTCCATATGGCTCAGAATTGTTTCTGTCTTTGCAGGTGTTCTGAGCAATGTTTTCCTGCAAAGCCCCCAGTATCTACTGGCATGCTGCGGTGGGTCCAGCCCCCCTCCCGTCTTCCCCAGTGAGTTTTCTATGCCTCATCAGCAATGCCTCGGTTGCTCTCTAAGAATAAGCAGCAAGGTCTACCATACTTTTCACAGCTAATTACTGATGCAATGCCAAAGAACTAATTTTGCGTTCATCTCTGCACAGCTCTATTCATAACCAGTTACGGCTGTTTAGGATGGGGGAGGGGGAGTGGGGGTTTAAGAGCCCCAGAGCCTCAGTGTTTTGTACCTACAAATACCCTTTGTTACCACTACCTATATTTCAGAGCTATAAACATTGTTTTTTTCCTATAAAAGAGCAACAGGAGCTATTACTGCTCCTGTATCTTTTTTGCACTTTCTAAATAGTATACAACCTACGATTAAAAACTTGGCACTTTCTAATAAGTTTTTAATACACTTTCAAGTATACATAAATAACATTTCCACCAAAGGTGCAAATGAAAATCAAATGTTGCTATTTTTTTATTTTATCTATATATTTTTTTGCTTAATCTACTATTATCCCATACTTAAAAATTAACAAAAAAACTGAATAAGTTGTACGTTTTTCTTCTTTAGTCATTGTTCTTCAGCAATTGGAAGTTATTAGTTGCAGCAATTCATGATGGCTGTCAGGTGTTGTGGAGAAAAGCACAAATCAGAGTCCTCTCAACCAACACATCCCTTGAGTCTTCTTAGTAGGTTGACACTTTCCCACAGTGCCCGGCAACAAAACAATACCAGAGCTGGCCGTGACCAATCGGCACTTTGGCTCCACCATCCACACGCGACCTCATTGCAATTTTTCACTGCAGCAATGAACTCTGCTGAGCGTGAAAAAAAACTCGCCCATTCCTCTGCAGGAGAGGGCTGGACAAGGAACATCCCCTGCCTATTGTATGGCTAAAGAGCTTGGCTCACAGGCCCCCCTTCTTTTCTCCTGTCCTTCAACTCTCATTCCGGCCCATTGGAGACCACTTGACTAGGACATAAAGCACTCAATGAAAGTGACTTTTATAGACTTATTCGAGCTCATCTTCACATACAAACTGGCTTCAAACCTGCAAGAGAAAAGATTTAGTGTTGGGCCACTGAGCCATCGAGTAATGGCATTTCTATTGTACAGCTGTATTGTTGGTGTCCCACAGGGCTCAATAGTTGGCCCGCTAGAAAAGACACACACATTACCCAGGAATGACCTGGTAATCAGCCATTTAAGTAAAAGCTATTGAGGTCTAATTGAGAAGTGAGAAGCATATCCAAACCCGTTTTGTGCTCCCTGGAGGTGGTCTATGTGCAGATTTGTCGTACAGATTAAAAAGGCAATGCTGAATGTATCAGATAAATTGTTTCACTTGACTCTTGTTGTGCCTAAACCTGTAAGGCACAGCGGGACTGGTCCCTACAGGTCAACATATCTCCTTTTTTCTTTGAAGAACTTATGCTCTATTCACTTTACTCAACCCCAGTTTGTTAATCTGGAGAATAACAATAAAGGGAAGTCATGAGTAATTAGGTAAAAAAGGCAAAAATAGCTTCCAATTTGGTTGAAAAGGAAAAAGTGGAAAGAAAATGATGCACACTTTTCAACACTAATATATGTGGTGTGAATTTATATTCCCTCAATTTAACTCTGTTTTTTAAAACAAAATACAGTTTAAACAAGAGTGTTTAGAAGTCACCCAATAGCATAGCATCCATCTATATGTAATGTATTTTAAGAACCAAACAGTTTTTCTATCTTTTAAAGCAAACTCTCATAAACAAACCGTTTCAATAAAACCAAGCAATCTAGTTAGGGATAAAGTTGTTAAGGAGTTTAGGGCAGAGTTACATCATTAAATGTAAGTATAATCCACGTAGGAAGGCACATAAAACATTTGAAACATCTTTACTCAGATGACAGTAAAGTTTTCCATTTTGACTGGCACCCAAAACACTCTGCATGCAAAAAAGCACAGCCTAAACACAATTAAAATGTGAAACATGGTGGTGGCAAAATTGTACTTTAGGGTTATATTTAAGGAAAAGGAAGAAACACTAAAATCCTCCAAAAAAAGCTATAGAAGTTTAGAACTTGCAGCAGCATGAGTTTCTGTTTAAAAGTTAAGATCAAGCCATATAATGAAAAGCTTTGGCTTTGTCAAAGTCTAGATTAAAATCCAACTAAGAATCGGAGGCAAAACTTGAAACCTAATTGATGTGGAGAGCTTCTCCCAGATTCTGGGGGAGCTGGAGACATGGAGTCTGAGTCGGCCATGTTCTCTGCCTACATTGTCGATGTAGCTGCCCGTAGCTGTGGCCATAAGGTGTGTGGTCACTGTTGTTGCAGAAATTCCTGAAAGGGATGCCAGCAAGCTGACGAAGGGGTCTTATTGAGCATGGTTTGCTTGTGGGAGTCCTAAGGCAGCAACCAGGTATCCTAAGGCAAAGCATGATGCTGCCCGGGTGGTTGCTGAGGTAAAAACTTGGGCCTGAGAGGAGTTTAGAGAGACCATGTCAAAAGATTATTGGCTTGCATCAAAGCAATTCTGGCAAACCATCCGGAGCCTTTGGAAGGGGAAGCAGTGCTATGCTAACACTGTTTTTTAGTGGGAGTGGAGAGCTGAAAGAGGACATTGTTGGATGGTGGAAGGAATTCTTTGAGGATCTCCTAGATCTGGCTGACATGCCTTCTGTGTAGGAAGAAGAGACGGGGTGCTCAGGGGGGGCTAGATTCCTTCATCACCATGGCTAAAGTCACTGAGGTGGTTAAAAAAATCATAGGTATCAAGGCTTCGGGGGTGGATGAGATCCACCCTGAGTAGTTCATAGCAGAGGTGTCAAGTAACAAAGTACAAATACTTCCACACCTTACTAAAGTTGAAATTTTCAAAAGTTTACTGGAGTAATTTTTTTTAGACAACTTTTTACTTCTACTCCTTATATTTTTTTGTAATTTTCTGTATTTTCTACTCCTTAAATTTTAAGAATAGACTCGTTAGTTTGGTTTCATTTAAGCTAATTTTCTTTATGGCCTGTTGATATAAAAAAAAACCATAAAAATAATTTGTTTAAAGCAGACAATTTCTTTGTGGTTGGACTTGGTATTGCACCAAAATAAATAGTTATTCAAGATGATGCCAGATTCAGTAAAAGAAAGTTATCTAGAATTGTAGAAAAATGTTTCATTAATACAGTTGCATAGTAACCAGTATGAGGTTTAAAGCATCTGTCCCTAAAAAGTGTTTTGATACATTACCTTTACTTTAATTAGTTAAGTAGTTTTGAAAATTGTACTTTTACAAAAGCTTAAGTTAATACTTTAACTTCTACAAAAGTGTTTTAAAAAAAAAGAATTAACGAAGCCAAGCCGGCAACAAAAAGCCGCCCGTGGCCCCTTTTTAAGCCCGCCAAAGGCCACAACCGGAAGCCGGTTCCCAAAACCCCGCCCTTAACCCCGGGGAAAAAAAAGAACCAAAATGGGGAAGGAAAAGGGGAAAAAAGCATATTTCACACGTTATCCTTGACAGGATACAGTTTGAGATATCAAAAAACCTCAGCACAAGAAAAGCACATGTAACACTAGAGACATTTCAGCAGAGGGTCACATCGGAGGCTGGAACCACATGAAAGTCAATCTGACATTTTAAGCATCAGTTGTGTATGTATGATGAAATGGAGGAGCAGTTAGATTTTTGTCCTGGCCATGGAACAGAACCAGCGCTCTACTCTCTGCGGGGTTCTCCAGGGTGCTTAGGGGTTTGCCTTACCTATCCACATGTGTTTTGTGGACCTGGATAAGGAATTTGACTGTGTCCCTCATGGAGCCCTGACGGGGGCACTTCAGGTGTTGGGACCCCCTTTTCTAGGGGCTATGCAGTCTCTGTACAAGTGGAGCTGGAGGTTGGTCCGCACTGACACCATTAAGTCGGTCCTGTTCACGGTGCATGACTCCTGACTCCGCCAAGGATGCCAACTGTCATCCGTCCTGTTCATAACCGTTATGGATAGAATTTCTAAGTGCAGCCAAAGGTCGGAGGGGTCTGGTTTGGAGACCAGCGGATCTCATTCCAGTTTTTTTTTGCCGATGACGTAGTTCTTCTTGCTCCCTCCTGTCAAGACCTATAGCATGCAGTGGGGTGGTTTGCAGCCGAGTGTGAAGAGGCCGGGATGAGAATCAGTTCCTCCAAGTCAGAGGCCATAGTTTTCAACCTTTTTCCCAAATGAGGGGAGAACGGAGCAGGAGATCGATAGACGGATCGCTGCAGCTTTCGCAATAACGCAGACGAATGGTCGAATGAGCTTTCTGCACAGGGTGGCTGGGCACGCCCTTAGAGATAAAGATAGAGCTGCTTCACCTCCACATCGACAGGATTCAGCTGGGATTGGCTTTAGGCCCCGTCCACACGAAGTCAAAACGAACACGAAACGCTGATATTTTCCAAAACGTTTGCCGTAAAGACGGAGACGTAAAATAAATGTGATCGTCCACACGAATGCATGAAAATGCTGCAAAATGTATGCCAGGCCTGTACGTGGCGCTGTGGTGCCAAAGCAAAAATAAGCGACGAAATGTTGGGCATGCGCACTAATATTTATACATGGTTGCCCTGCGGGTCCATTTTCGTGGTTAAGTCAAATTCAGGTGCTGAACTATGTCGTCGGTATTGCTCTGTTCTTCCTGGAGATATTCCAGAAGAAGAAGATTCTGTTGTAAGCCCGACAGCAGGGTGAGTAGCATTAGCAGCAACGGCGCCATTGTTGTTGTGATACTGGTCGCGCATGCGTGTTTAGAGGCGACGCTATGACGCATGCGTGTAAAAAAAAATATGCTGTTAGAGCGTAAAGATGGAAACGCGAAAACGGCGTTTCGAAATCTTCCCACTCTGAAGGCTGAATTAAAAAAAGATTGTTTACAGACCCCGAAACGCCGGCTTCGTGTGGATGAGAGGCTGGTTTGGTGAAAAATTTGTGCGTTTAGGCCAGGGTTTGACTTCGTGTGGACGGGGCCTTAGATTATCGTTCCAAAAAATGTGTAAACCATGAACTCTTTACTTCCTAGTTTACAATTATGCTTCAGTTTGTGTTGCTCAGTCACATGAATTTCCAATGAAGTGTGCAGATTTGAAATAAAAAAATAAAGTTTAAAGGATAGAAATACTCTTCTAAGTCATTGTAACTACTAATATAATTTGAATCTGTTTTTATCATTTTTCAGAAGGAGGAAATGTTCAAACGTGGACGTCAAATGCAAGTCCTAAATCCCGTAGAGGAATCCTTAGGAGAGTTGTTTTCTCAGAAGAACAAAGGAAGGAGCTGGAAAGAACCTTCAGGAGACAGAAGTACATCAGCAAAATGGACAGGAACAAACTGGCAGCCGATCTTAGCCTGAAGGAATCACAGGTGATCTACTTGATACAAGCTCAGTTTTTTATTCTACAGTTTTAGTATAGAGAGGAGGTAAAAAAAGAACGTGACCTTAAACCATCAGTTTCTTTTGTCTTTAGTTTTTTTTATGAATAAACTCACCATAAGGTGAACTAAAATCCTTCTCCACTTTCTGATTTGTTAAGGTAAAGATCTGGTTCCAGAACCGCCGCATGAAATGGAGAAACCACAAGGAAAAGGAGTTTCATAACATCCGCTCCCCAATGGATGAGCTCATGGCCACAGGTCGTCCTCAAGGGCAGGAGAAAACATCACATGATCACACTAACCCAAAAACAGAGAACTCTGTGAGAACAAAAGAACAAAGGGGACACATGCATGAGCCAATGAGAGACAAGTAACTTTCTCACCTCCATTACAAAGACTTACATTTTGATGGAATACCTTGTACAGTCCAAAAATTCAGGCCTCTTATGTTTTATTCCACTGTCATTAGAGTGTAAATAGATACAAATGCTTGTTTCATTGCTTTAGCCGATTAAGACTCCCAATTTTCAATCAAAACTACTGTTATCGAAAGGTCAAATTAACAATGTTTACATTTTACAAAATTGTTGAACTGTAAACTCTCCTAAGCTTTACACAAAATCCTTATTCAATAAAAATTCATATAATTTGTTTGTAAGTCATATTACTTTTACTGCATGTTGGTAATAGTTTATTTGCTATCTTGTTTGCATTAATCAACTGTAAATGAAATGTTTTATTAAATTCTTACATTTTATTATAACTTTATTGAATTCACTATAATACTCTGATATTAGTGAGTAAAGATAACGGTAGTTTAGATTTTGTGAAACTTCTTTAGCACAATTTATTACTTCACAAGCGACATGGTGGTAAATGTATTTAGCACATTGAACTTTTAACATAAACCGAATAGATGCATGAGAAAAACATAGTGAAAATGACAAATGCTGTATACTGTACGTGGGCCATGTGTTTTTATAACTCTTACCAAATTTCTACCAAGTATCTCCTGGGTTTGAAGATTGAATATTTGGAAAAAGCCAAATTCACAAATAATGATACATATTTAATTAATTATTAGGAGACCAGGCAATGTTTAAAAATAATAAGTTAAGGGCTGTCAAGATGGTTATTATTTATTTAAAATACATACTATACTATGTTTCCCAAAATACGCCTCTAGGATAAGTGGAAAGTATATTTAAGAGGATAATGTTAGATTGTGTCGTATTGTTTGGAGTAGAACTAGTGGTTAGAGCAGTGCGCTTGTGCTCTGAGAAGGTTGCAAGTACCTGGTTCAATCCCCGGAGCCTGCACTCTGAGTCCATGAGCAAGACCCTTATCCCTACACTGCTACCTGGGCGCCGCTCAATGGCTGCCCACTGCTCCCCAAGCGGATGGGTTTAATGCAGAGGTAAATTTCTCCAATGTGAGATCAATAAAGTTCTGTTATTATTACTTCAGGTATTACCATCTCTGAAAAAATAATTCAGTATAAGTAAATGTGTTATAGACATAAAGTGTGTGACAGCAATCATAACCAAATAAACAGCAAACCAAATGGTGATTTGCTACTGCTATTAACAGTTTTATCCTGTAAAGACAGCTGATTCCCCCCACATTCCTGAGACAACACTTGGTCTATGGATCAGATAAAAGTTGTCTCAACTGTAAATTTCTGCATTACGCCTGTCCATCTAAACTGATGCCGTTGGAACCCAAGAGTTCCATAGTTACACTGGAGGAGCTGCAGAGATCTGTATCTTATGTGTTAGTCTATGTTGACATTACATCATTTTTTGTTGACTTCACAAGCAACTCTGATCTTCATGTAAGAGTGAAGCAAAAAAGGATTTTATTCAGAAAAACAAAGGTCTAAAGCCACATTGATGTAGAGTACAGCTAATATGTGCAGTAATTTTGTGCCTCTGGTATACAATAAAAAAAAGACATTTCCAGGCATTAGTGCAGAATGCTGCGGAATGCAGATTGAACATAAAGTACAGTGGTGATTATCACATTGTGAGGATTCTTTTCTGTAGCAGTCACAGCTACAGTAGAAAAGTATAAATCGAAGCTTGTTAGAAATGAAGGAAGAGAAAATAAAATCTTTATGGTCCATCAGTCTGGCTGCACAGTGGAGCAGTGGGTAGCACTGCTGCCTTGCAGCAAGAAGGTTCCAGATTCAAATCTTTGCATGTTCTCCCTGTGCATGCGTTGGTTCTCTCTGGGTACCCCGGATTCCTCCCACATTCCAAAAACACAACTGTTAGGTTAATTGGTTTCTCTAAAATTACCCTTAAGTGAGAGTGTGTGCGTGAATGATTGTTTCACCTGTTTGTCTCTGCGCTGCCCTTCGACGGACTGGCGACCTTCTCCAGGGTGTACCCCGCCTTTTGCTCATAGACTCCTGGAGACGGGCATCAGCACCCCTCACAACCCCAGCAGGGATAAATGTGACAGAAAATGGATGGATGGAAGGGTTCATCAGTCTTCTGTTTTAAACCCATCCCTTATGGAGCAGCGCCATGCCACATGGATTAGTAAAGGCGATTCTAGAAAGAACACGACTAAAGTAAAATGCAGGCCACAATTTTTGTTTGCAAAAACTATGAAAAAATATTTCATTTTCCTTCCATTTTCTAATTATGCATTATCATCTATGACACATGCAATTCCAAAGCTTAAAATTGTTTTAGGGTAATGACAATATTAAATGTAAAAGGTGTCTTTGCACATGCAAGGACAAAAATGTACCTTTTAAAAAGTTAACATAAATGTTCTACTTTGTGTGCTCACATCTGGCTTAGTTATACTAAATGTGTGCCATTCTTGCTCTTTAATAATATCGTGCACCGAGAAACATACAAAGCAGTCAAAATGTCCTGCCTGGAAAATAGTCTCCTCTAACAGGGGTGATTGATGATGAAGGAATGTCTGACACAGCCATTTCTGTGGTGATGGATGATACCACATCAAGCGTGACAAAATACACAAATTCATCCCTTTCTCTATTGTTAAATCAGCTACCCCCCAAAATCCCCAATGGTTATAATGAAAATTTAAGGGTGTTTGTCAATAATTTTCCAAAAAGTTTTTTATTGTGCTTCTTAAATTGAAATGGTGATAAAGGATTGAAAATAAAAGTTTAAATTGCTTAGTGACACACTTAGCATGCATGTTGTCACAATGCAAACATGAATAATCTAAAGAATGGGGTATTTGCGTTACATCATGATAAAATCATTATTATACCTACAGTTTCTGTTTCCATGTAAGGTGTTTTGTGACAGAAGTGCACATGCATTGTTCACTGGTGGGGGGTTAAATAACTAAACATAAGCAAGTGGGCATAAACGTTGTCAAATGTTTGATTGAAACAACTAAGAAGAAACACGTGAGGCTAAAATTTGAAGTTATAATTGTATTAGGAATGAACTTCATTTAATACTGGATAAATGCAGTGAGACTACGGCATAAAAAACAAAGGGATGGTCTTTGCCTATGAGTTCTCTAGATATAGCTGGTATGTAATGGGTTATCTACCTGCAGCATGAATTAATATTTTGGAGAAAGACTTTGGGCTGTATTTGGACCTGCATGCATTAAGTGGCTTTGCACATCTGGAGACTAACAGCTCAATATATAAAGTCATGGCACACATTCTCAGTTGACTTGGGGTCTGGACTTTGACTGGCAGAGGTGGAAAGAGTACTAAAAAATTGTAATTAAGTAAAAGTATCTTTACTTTGCCTAAATTCTACTCAGAGTGAAAGTAAAATTACCCATCTCAAAATTTACTCAAGTAAAAGGAAAAAATTACTTCATTTAAAATGTAATTTGAGTAAAAATTAGTTACTTTGAGTTATTTAATGCAAAAAAGGATGAGTCATGAATCGAATTGACCACAAGGTGTTTTAATCGATTTCAAGGCGTATTTCAGTGACATCCACACTGCAAAAGATCAGCTGGGCTAAAGAACATACTTCCTCACAGCACAAGGACAGTCACAACC